TGGCCAAATCATCAGTGACCAGAGGGACATGAGTTGAAGATTGATACATGACAGAGATGGGAGGTATCAGAGCGAGATAGAAAAGGAATTTGAACATAAAAGTCGAGGAGAAGTGTTCTGGGCAGTATCAGGATGAGGAGAGGTGAGTTCAGTTGGTTATGAGTTTTGAATAGAATTCTGAGGTCAAATTCAGGAGTGACAAACTGTAGAATCTGTGGGTCTGTGGCAGCTGCCTTTGGACAGGATAGGTAAATATGATCATGGGGGTTGGTGTGGATTATTGTTCTGAAGCCAATTAGAGGGAGGAAAGGATTGAGGGCTAGTCTGATTAATTTATTGTCATCTTCCTGACCTCACTAGGTTCTCAGCTCCTGAGAATCCTTATTAATGAACCTGAGGAAAAGGTTACCATCTGGGCCTGCTAATGAAGGGCCTTCCAGAAGTCTGACAGTAATTGGGTGGGTGTACATTTGGGGTGGTTCTGCTAGGAAGAGAGACCCATGAGCTGGCTAGGGCCATGAGCTGGTTATTTGAATCAGAGTTCCCATACCTTGGGTACCTTGGAGATGACAGTGACGACATCTCCTTGGCATGACATACGAGCTCTCCGAGTCTCCACAAGACTTACTGCCTCATCTCTCATCACTTTGAGCTTTCTGCTCGAATGATAACAAACTGCTATGGTCATTCCGGCATATACCAAGGCTGTTTTTTGCCCCATTAGCTGTGCTCATGTTGTTTCCCCTGCCTGGTACGCTACACATGCATGTGCTCACACATACACTCACAATCACCTGTCTTTATCTAGCTGATATCTGCTTAGGAATCACCTTGTCCAAGAAGCTTTCCCTGGCCCCAAGACAGTTAGGTGCCTCCTCTTGTGCCCTGCTAATCCCCTCACTTCCCACCATCCCAGCATTTATCACTGTACTATTGTCAATGTGTCTGTTTCCCACACTAGACTAGGAGCTCCTCGAGGGTAAGAACTACTGATTCGCCTCAGTGTCCTCCTGCATGTTGAGCTGAGCTCACATGACCCCCACTGTCCACCCCCTCCATGCTCATTCCCACCTCCTTCATTCTTCTGTTCATCAATCGACACTCACCAAGCACCTATTCCTCTGGCTAGTGCTGGGGCTCGGATGAATGACATGATCCCTGCTTAGGGAGCTCCTTGTCAAATGGACTTCTACCATGCAGGGTAACATGTGCTATAGCAGAGGGAAGCACAGAGGAAAATGAAGGGGCTGTATCTAAGCTGAGTCCTGAAGAATGAGAAGTTAGTTAGGTAGAGTTTTCCTCAATTCTAGCCTTAAAGTCTCCCCTCTCCACCAACTTCTGGAAGCCTCCTCCTGCTCTCTTCCCCTGCCACTCTCTCCCCACTGCATTCCTGCACAGCCTCTGGTTTGCTCTACCTGGGTTAGAAATGTTATAGTGTTCGGTCACTGTTCCAACTGAGAGCGAGACAAGGGGACATAAGGGATAGAGCCCTGGCTTATGCCCATCTCTGAGTCTAGGTTTTACTATCTGTAAATTACAAATTACTCCTGCTTTGCCCTACCCAACTCACAAGGTTTTAAAATTGTATTTTTGAACTGTTACAGACTATGCACATGTGAGGGATTGAAACTCTGATTAGTGTGTCTTTTCCACGATCAGATTTGGTCTCCCTTTGTCCCTGGCTCTCAAGAAAAGACCTGGAACAAAATCAGTGTTCATTAAAGACCTGTTTTATTGACTGGCCCTGAATGATGAGGAAAAAGGTTTCCCTCAAGGCCCTGGGTGTAAGGAAGCTGGAACTAAAGTGAGCTAGGAATATAAGGAAAAGGGAATGAACATGTCTCCCACATGCCAATCATTTCACATACTTTTGTGCATTTAATTCTTATCACCACCCTTTGAAGTAGGTAATATTCACCCCATTCTACAGATGAAGAAATAGAGGGTGAGAGAGATTGTGACCTTGACTAAGGTCACACAGCTAGTAGCTGACAGAGACTATATGCAAATCCAGGCTATATGACTCCTGGGCCTCTTCCCACTGCCCACCTGTACAACATGACATGGCCTCCCCTTGGTGCCAATTCCTCAGAAGGGATCTGTACCCCTGGCCTTGACTTATGTCCCCAACTTCATCCAAACTGATAGTTAAAGCCTATTTACTTCTTTACCTGTTTGCCCCTTTCCTAGGCAAGCAACACACTTCCTCCACCTCCCCAAACATTGCCATTTATGATAAGCCAGTCAAAGGCCAGAGAGTCAATTTTTATGATATTCATTAAGGAAAACATGCTGGAGGGTCTCTGAAGCTGACTGGGTTTCTATGGCTTGCAGATAATGAACTAGCAGCCACCTCCTTCTTTATCACGTGGCCACAGTTAGGGCGCACTTTTGCTGCTAGCCTTTTTCAGGTTAGGAAATGAGCCACAGAGAGGCTGTCAACCAGAGGAGGCCTGGGAGGAGCTGGGAGTGAGTGCCTTCAAGCTGAGATGGCAAGGGAAGAAGAACCTCGTTTGTACCTGGGGGCTTTAGCCCTCTCTGTGGACAGTGGGCTAATAGGGAGAAGGAGGGAGGGGAAAGACAGCCCCTCCTTTGTGGGAAAAGATGATAAAAGGAGAATGGGATGAAGAGGAGGTGAGAGGAGCCAGATGAAAGTAGAGAAAAAGCAACTGTCATTCCAACGACAACTTTGTACAGCAGTTTATCCACGTCTCACTCAATTCTTCCAATTGCTCTCGACAGAAAGGCACTGTGGCTATTCCTACTTGACAACTGAGGAGTCTGAGGCTCAGAAAGGCTAAGGGATTCAGAGAAATAAAGTGACTTCCCCGGGGGCACCTGGGTGGCTCAGTCGTTAAGCATCTGCCTTCTGCTCAGGTCATGATCCCAGCGTCCTGGGATCGAGCCCCGCGTCGGGCTCCCTGCTCCGCGGGAAGCCTGCTTCTCCCTCTCCCACTCCCCCTGCTTGTGTTCCCTCTCTCGCTGTGTCTCTCTGTCAAATAAATAAATAAAATCTTAAAAAAAAAAAGTGACTTGCCCAGATTCAGACACTGTGGTAATCAGATAAAAGAAGAGGGGTCCAGGGGTGCCTGGGTGGCTCAGTCAGTTAAGCGTGGACCCTGGGATCGAGCCCTGTGTCGGGGCTCCCTGCTCAGTAGGGAGTCTGCTTCTCCCACTCCAGAGAAGCTCCCTCTACCCCTCTCCCTGTTCAAGCGCACACGCGCTCTCTCTAATAAATAAAATCTTTAAAAAAAAAACCCAGAGGGGGCCAAAGAGACTTGTAAAGAAGAGAAAGATATGGTCAAGGAAGGAAGGAAATTGAAAGGGAGAAAGGAAAACAAAATAAAGAGGGGAAGAGAAGTGGGAGACAAGGCTGTGTATGGACTTGGAGCCAGTCAAACCCAGATCTAAACCCAATTTCCACTAGTAGCCATGTGACCTTGTGTAAGTTATGTAATCTCTTCAAGCCATTTTCTCATTTATAAATCGAAGATGATTATATTTCCCCACAGGCTGCTGTGAGGATTAAGTAAAATAGTATTTCCCAAGCTCTGACATTTAGTAGGTGCTCAACAAAAAGAATCCCAAGGAGAAAGTGTGAGGAACGTAAGGGAAAGGAAGGAGTGACATGAAAAGAAAGGGAAGAGAGAAGCTTTTGAGGAGAAAAAAAGATGGGCCTGGAAGGAAAAGAAAGAGGAAGATAGATGGACAAAAGAGGAGGGAGGAGGCTGGGGCAGGGACATGTAGAGAAGGACTGGCCTCCAACTGGCCGAAATTCCACAGTTGGGAAGCAGCCACTTTGTCTGAATCAGGAGGGCCTTTCTTATGTCTCCCAGGACAACCAAGTTCTGTTCATTGTCACAGAAAGTGTCATTAAGGATCTGAAGGTACAAAACAGACAAGAATATCTCACACTTCAGGTGCAGTCCTCCAGGTGCCTTTGTGGGGTTTGTGTGAGGAGGGAGAGATACAGGGGAATTCCAGGGGGATCTGGGGAGGAGGAACCTCAGGGAGTGGAGATAAGCCAGTGTGTCTGGGGTGGAAAGGGCAAATGAAGCTTTGCTTGTTCATTGTGGATCTTGGGGTGCCTTCCAGATCCTAGACTAGAGCTGGGTAGGCTGCGGTGAGTGGAAGGCAGGGGAAAGAAGAGGAAAAACCCTAGTCAAAAAGGTCAGAGCCTGGACTTCTCACACTGGTTCCTCTATTTATCTTGGGCAAGTCAGCTTATTTCTCTAAGCCACAGTGTCTGCCTTAGTGAAATGGAGAGGGTCTGCCCAGACATTCCTTCTCCCGGGGGTGACTTGAGGATCAGATGAAGTAATGGATGTGATAAATGCATTGGAAAACTGTGAAGTGCTATGTACAAATATTGAAGTATTCAGTCTTTCAGAAAACACCTAATGAACCCCACTCTGTATCAGGCACAGCACTATACACTTTACCTGCATTATCTTGTTTAATGAGGTAGGTAAAATTATCCCTATTTATAAACCAGGGAATTGAGTCATAAAGAGAATTAGGTGACTTGCAGGGGGTAACACAGCTGGCCAATGGTAGAACCAGGATCTGTCTGACTCTACAAACAGTGCAGGTAATCCCTGCCCTGTACCATCTATTTATTTATTTATTTTTAAAATTTTTTTAATTTTTAAAGGTTTTATTTATAGATTTGAGAGAGAGAGAGACTGAGTGAAAGGGAGAGAGCATGAGCAGGGCAGGGGCAGAAGGAGAGGGAGAGCAGACTCCCCACTGAGTAGGGAGCCCGATGCGGGGCTCGATCCCAGGACCCCAGGACCACGACCTGAGCTGAAGGCAAACGCTTACCTGACTGAGCCACCCCAGGCACCCCTGTACCATCTCTTTAGGGCAGAATCGTCTGCCATGAAATTAGGCCTCCTTGCTTCACTCCTTTGCACTGGCTATATTAATCCAGAGTGGTCTGGCCAGTGGGCATAAAAAGGAAAGGATAATCCTTACTCTTACCTTTCTTCTCTCCTTAGGGTTTGACTTCTTTGAAGCCAGTGCCAAGGAGAACATCAGTGTGAGGCAGGCCTTCGAGCGGCTGGTAGATGCCATTTGTGACAAGATGTCTGATTCACTGGACACGGACCCCTCCATGTTGGGCACCTCCAAGAACACCCGTCTCTCGGACACCCCACCGCTGCTGCAGCAGAACTGCTCGTGTTAGGCAAGGCCCACCCTCCTGATCTCCCCTTCTTGTGAGCCCACACCTACTCTGCTTTCCCCATTACAATCTGTCCACCCCCAGCCCCAAGCAGGCTGCATTGCCACTGACTTTTGCCTGAAGTGGAAGTGGAAGCATGCCCCTTGAGTTCTCTGCAGATGGCCCCGCTAATAGACACCCAGTCCTAGACTAACAGCCAGGTCACAGCATGGGTAGAGATTCACTTTACAAAAAAAGACTCCATCAGGGGCGCCTGGGTGGCTCAGATGGTTAAGCGTCTGCCTTCGGCTCAGGTCATGATCCCAGGGTCCTGGGATCGAGTGCCACATCGGGCTCTCTCTCTGCTCCTTGGGAGCCTGCTCCTCCCTCTGCCTCTCTCTCTCTCTCTGTCTCTCATGAATAAATTAAAAAAAAAAAAAAAAAAAGACTCCATCTTACAAAGGGTATTCACTTCAGGGACTTGGAAAGTGAGTCTCTTTTCTGCCTTTAAAATAAGATTTCCTCCATTTACCAAAATTTGACACACGCACACTTTTTAGGGCCCGGCCAGCTGGCTAAGTGCAGCCCACCTGCACAGCTAATCCTGTTAAAGAAAACGTCGTCATACACAGCATGCTTGTTTCATATCAGGCTCCCTGTGGGGCTTCCTCTCACTGCAAGCCAAGCTTTGACTCTCAAAGCCTTATGCCTGTTACCACGGATGCCCACAGGGCCTGGGGCAGTTGCTGTGGTGACAGGCCAGAGCTAATCTCCAGAGAGCTCAGACTCTCTAATGATGCTGAAGGAGCAAAGGCTGAGTCAGAAATATTCTTAAAAGAAAAGATTATTCCCTGCAAAATGTCAAAGGTTCCTGCTATATAAAAGAGCAGGAGAGTGAGCTCAAGAAAGACAACGAGAAAGAAAAGAGAAACACAGGCAAGATAAAGGAGCAGGTCACGACTTTCTGATTTTGCTGCTTTCCAGCTGGTTCTTAACTGTGGGAACTCCATGAAATTGGTCTTTGTTTTTTAGACTCCCAGAATTTGAAATATTTAGAGCTACCTAGTCTGACTAGTCAATTTCCATCTTCACATCTCTGATAAGTGGCTGCCAGGCCTCACAACCAAATCTCTTTCTTCTTCTTTTTTTTTAAAGGATGTTATTTATTTATTTATTTAGATAGAAAGACCGAGCAGTGGGGGGTGGGAGGGGCAGATGGAGAGGGAGAGACTCTCTGGCAGACTCCCTGCTGAGCACGGAGCCCAACTTGGGGCTGTAGCCCACAATCCTAAGATCATGACCTGAGCCAAAATCAAGAGTCAGATGCATGACTGAGCCACCCAGGCGCCACTCCCCCCCCCCCCCCCCGCTTCTCTTTCTTCTAAAACACACCTTCTAGGCAGGGCTGGGAGCTCATTGTCCATACCACCTTTGGGCAGCTCTTATAAGCAGAAAGTTTTCCTTGCTTTAAGCTGAAATATGTCCCCTGGAAATTCCTCTTCCTCTTCTCACCCCATTTATCCCAGCTTTGCTGTCAGAGACCTCACAGTCCAAGCTCCTTCTGCCCCTTGAAACCCCCAGATGATTTGAGAACAGAAATCATGACCTCTGCCCTTTCTCTAAAGTTCTGCCATTCTTCATAGTGTCTTCTTGCCATCCTGCCCTTTCTTCCAACCCATCTTTCAGTCACTCCTGAGTAGTCTGACTGGGAAATGTGATTCAAAGCAGAATAAATCTAAGGGGGCATGACCCTGACAAAATTGGGAAAACTGAACTCAGAGGTCCCAATCCCAGACTCATTCTCCTGGGAGTGAAATCTTAGTTTCTACTGAAGAGTGGATGTGAAACCACTCCTAGTGGAAACTGCTTAATTAAACACCTGAAGGGAAAAACTAAGCCTAAATCAAAACCACAAAAAACCCTCTGACACACCAGAAACAAACTGAATGGATTCTAGCTTGTTTAGACATGGCAGATGTTTGGTTTTTAGCTGAAATAATGACATGGAACTAGCAGTGATTCCTGAAAATCTTTCCTCCCAGGCCTGACCCAAATCCCCAGCTTCCCCCTGCACTAACATGCCAGCTCAGAAGTTGGTGGGGGAAGGGGAAGAGTCTCTACCAAATTTTTTCTCCATTTCAAATGCATCTCATTATCCTAGGAAAGTGCATTAACTCGCATAGGTCCAATGACTACATAAAAGGACGCTCCAGAGTTAGCCCGATGGGGATGTTGCTTTCTTTGATGCAATGCACAGGATAGAGCTTTGGACTTTGGAATCAGGAGTCCTGGACTCTGCCCTTAAATCAAGTGTGACTCTGGATCAGTCACTCCATCTCTGAGTCTTGATTTCCCACCTATAAAGTGAGGGGTTATTTGGGTAATCTTTTTTTTTTTTAAGATTTTATTTATTTATTTGACAGAGAGAGACACAGCGAGAAAGGGAACACAAGCAGGGGGAGTGGGAGAGGGAGAAGCAGGCTTCCCGTGGAGCAGGGAGCCCAATGCGGGGCTCGATCCCAGGACCTGAGATCATGACCTGAGCCAAAGGCAGATGCTTAATGACTGAGCCACCCAGGCACCCCTATTTGGGTAATCTTTAAGGTCCCTTCTAGTGCTAGTAACTGTGACTCTTTTTTTCATCTTTATCATTTCAGTTTATCTGCAAAATAAACTTAAGAGATGAGGATTATCACCCCAATGTCATTGTAGATAACACTGATGTCATGCTTACTCTGTACTAGGCATTGTTCCAAGCACTATACATGTATGATCTTATTTATCTTCCCAACATCTTTGTGAGGGAGGCACTATAATCAACCTCCTTTAAAGATGAGGAAACTAAGGTACAAAAAGACTCCCTAGCTTGCCTAAGGTCACATAATGAGTAAATAGTACAGCTGGGGTTCAAACCCAGGCAGTAGGCTCCAAGGTTTACGCTCTTGACCACATTCTATACTACATTTTTAATAAATAAACTGTGAACCAAAAAGGTTAGGGACGTGACCAAGATGATACAGCTAGCGAGTATTAGAGCCATGTTAGGATTCGATCCCAAGGCCATCAGATTCTAAGTCCACTGGAGAAAAAACTTATGTCTCTTCTCTATTAACAAATCGCTCATCTATTCAGACTAATCCAGGTGGTGGATGTCTAATGCTTCTGGAAAGGAGTCAGGCTCTGAGGCAGCCAGGTCCCAAGAGACTGAGCAGAAATTGTCCGGTATTTCTCAGGTTCAGGTCCCTGTATCTGCCTTTGTCAAGTAATTCTTACCTAGCTCTCAATCAGTGCTTTAAGCAGCCTCCCTGCTCTAGCAATGGGGCATTTTGCAGGAGTGACTTGGTTAACTTCCTTGACCACGGAAGAGTGTGATCCCTTTTCAGGCAGTGGTTCTAGATGTGCTTTTTACACTGTCAAGTCAATGCAGGTCAGGCACAATTACTATTTTTCTGCGCAGTAACACCCATCCACCCTAGTAGTGGGATTTCAGACTGAGCTCTTCATGACCCGTGGTTATTTTAGGACATATATCCAATAATCTTTTCTTTCATATTGGATATCCAGGCAAAGATTAAAATTTTTACTTAAAAATTGTTAAATTCTTTAAAACTCAGGAGCCAGTGTAAGAGAGCAATTTTCTTGACAACAGATAGAATCAAGAGTTAAATGTAATAGTGGCAAACTCTTCTGCTGGGCATCAAACAAGCAGAGCTGCTTGCTAGATGGCAATTCCCCAGCCCTGCTCTGTGACCTTGTTTCTGCTGCGTGGAAGGCAGCAGCTTCCAGCTGATTACAGTGCAATGTTCATCAGTCACGGTAATAGTGCAATTAGCCACCAAGGTTTAAGCTGCAGAGTATGTTAGTGGCAACTTGTCCCAGTTTTCATCTTGCTTAACAATCCAACTAAAGATTTAAAAACGAAAAAACTCTTGACCTCAAAAGAGGCAAAAGTAGGCCAAATGTGCAATACAGTATTATAGCTATTTACAGAATCTGTTTTAAATGCATGTGTACCTGCAAATACAAAGTGATTTGTGTCTTACTATTGTCTCCTCAGTCTGTAGCATTAATTAACTCCTAGGAGCAGCAATGGGGTAGAGTGTACTGAATGGCCACAGACTTGTCAAATATTAGATCGGGAAGGGAGCTTAGAGAAAATCCTGTCCAGGCTCTTCATTTTACAAAGAGGAAGGTTGAGGTCCAGGGAGAAAAAGAAAATTTCCTAGGGCCACTCTGAGAGTATATTAGTGGTGGAGTCAGGACTCGGTGTTGGATCACCTCTACATAGACATTTATTTATTCCGTATCTACTGTGGGCTTGGTGCTGTTAAACACTAGATAAATGTATATTAAAACAAATGATCCCTGCCTGCAAGGTACCTATAGTCTACTGGAGGTCCTGTTTCTAAAATATTACCCCAATTTGGCAGCCAAGGAAACATAGCCTTGGAAAAGTTAAATGTTCAAGTCATTCAGTAATATCATTTGAATTCACTTCTGTCTGATTCATGCTCATTCCATTGTCTCTCAGATGAAGGGTATTTGGAGTGGTGGTAGTGACAGGCTCCAGTGTCTCTGTTGATATTGTTTAATTAACTCTGAGAGTCCTTGGTCTCACAATTACTTTGTGACTGCCGCCTTGTAATGTCCACAGAGTGATATAAATATCCGCCAGACCCAACTTTCCCATTCACATCACCTGCTCCTGCTCCAAAGCTCTTTGTTTGGGTATCAAGGTTCCTAGAGTGTCTTGAGGAATGTTTGTTAGAGTTTGTTTGCCAATAGTTTTGGGGTAAGGAAAAGGAATTACAGTAACCAGTGTCCTGGGATCTCATTGATTTCAGATTCTGCATCTCTACTAAGTTATCCCTGATTACCTGCCACAGTTGGAGGATCAGCCTGTGCCTGGGATTGCATGCAAGAGACAGGCCCATGAGATACGAATACTGTTAAGTGATGTTTTTGAAGGCCTTCATCCCTTATATGAAGTAGGCAAAACTCAAATTTATTCATTCATATTTACTCATTCAATAAATATCTAGTATGTGTCAGGATATAATCAATGGCAAATTAAAACAAGCCTTGCCTTCATGAAGCTTATAGTCTAGTAGCTTATGGTTTAGTCTAGACATTGTAAAATACCCAAATATAATTAAAAAGTGCTCTGAAGAAAAGGTACGTCATTTTATGAGACTACAAGTGGGAAAATTGAATCATATTTGGGGAGCTGTTTCAGGAGTCCTGAAAGACTCCACTGCCCCCAAATACCTCCACTATCCACTGGCCATTGCTTTATATTCCTCAAGCTTTCATCCTTTAGTTCAAATCTTTGGTGACTAATCAAACACAAATCCTCCAAAAAGAGTAAGGGTGAGAGAAACAATATCTGTACCTGTGAAATATGTTTAGACTGCCTGGTTCAGAGTTAATTATTGTCTTCTGAGGGACATAACAGATGACCACAAAACTTAGTGATTTGAAACAAACATTTGTTATTTCTCATGATTCTTTGGGTTGGCTGGATGATTCTTCTGGCTGAGGCTGGATGGTCTAGAATGACATCATTCACATGCCTGGAGTCCCAGCTGAAATGACTAGGGTGATTGAGGTGCCTCTCCATGTGTTTTCATCTTCCAGAAGGCTGCCCAGAGTTGTTCACATGGTGATAGAAGTTTTTCCAGCAGCAAGAGAGGGCAAGCTTCGATGCAGAAGTTCTTCGTAAGCCTCTCATTTGTATCATGTTTGCTAATGTCCCACTGACTAATGCAAGTCACATACAAGGGGTGGAGAAATAGATGCCATATCTTGATGGGAGGAGCTGTAAAATATTGTGGCCATTTTTCAACCCACCAAAGGAAGCAACATTAAGTCATCTGAACCAAGTCTGACAAATTTCCCTGGGTCTTAAAACCTGCTATCCCCAAAGAGAAATATCAAAATGGTTTGCAGCAGGGCAGTCTCCCCATTTGTTTAGTTGTCCAAAGGGTCTACTTTGGAGGAATGAAGACACATCTGTATGGTGTTTTGATGCATATTTCACCATTCATTTGGTTACTTAACTACTCCCTGAGGGATGAATCTGGCTTCTCATTCTATGGAATTAACTGTAATAATGGTTGTGATTCCCACCTGAGATTCCTGGCTGGAGGCCCAGCAGAAGGATTCAGTGTATGCAGAAAAAATGGCTCAAAGAATAGTTGAGGGGCACCTGGCTGGCTCAATCGGTAGAGCATGCGACTCTTGATCTCGGGGTTGTAAGTTTGATCCCCACGTTGGATGTAGAGATTACTTAAAAATAAAATCTTAAAAAAAAAAACAACAGTTGGTCCCTCTGCTCTAGCTATACTGTCTTCCTTGGAGACCTCATCTAGTCCTGTGGCTTTAGATGCCAAGTCTTTGGTAATGACATATATACACAGGGTCCAGTAGACATCTCCATGTCTCAAACTCAACATGTCCACATGGAAATTTATTTCAACCCCAGTCATCACAGAAACCTTACTATTATTCTTAATTCCTTTTCTTTTCTTTTCTCTTTTCTTTTCTTTCTTTCTTTCTTTCTTTCTTTCTTTCTTTCTTTCTTTCTTTTCTTTTCTTTTCTTTCTTTCTTTCTTTCTTTCTTTCTTTCTTTCTTTCTTTCTTTCTTTCTTTCTTTCTTTCTTTCTTTCTTTCTTTCTTTCTTTCTTTCTTTCTTTCTTTCTTTCTTTCTTTCCTTTTCTTTGTCTTTTCTTTTCTTTCCACATCCA